AGTGAAATATATAATCTATAGTTATTAGAATTACTCATGAACATCTAATATGGCCTTTTTTTTTTTTTTTTTTTGTTGCGCAAATCCAGATTAACTCTTCAAGTAGTTGGCAAAATTTGTGAAGACTCTTGAGATTTTTACCCCACTTGCAAGCCTTCCACAGTAGATGCTGGCAAAAGATATGAGATTCCTGAGAAAAAAAGGACAGCTTGTTATAGTAGAGAGAGTCCCATAATTTTCACACTTACTCCTGGAGGTCCAGTTCCCACAGGGCAGGAGGAAATGGGCCAGGTGACACCTGCCCTTGCTCCAGAGGGAGACACTATCTAGTTTCCAAGACTGTTCATTATACAAACATGCTTGAAAAGATAATCTGGAATAGAGGCAAATTTTTCTGTAAAAGATCAGTTAGTAAATATTTTAAGCTTTGCTGGCCACATACAAATCTCCCACATGTTCTTCTTCATTGTCCTTGTCATTATTGTTTTTGTTGTCGGTCTACAGCTCTTTAAAAATGTAAACACTTTAACTCTGGAGCGATTCAAAAACAGGTCATAGGCTAGATTTGGCCTATGGGCCATAGTTTGCCAAATTCTGGTCTGGAAAAAAGGCAGTGAGTGCCTCTGCTTACAAGATTAGAGGAAACACGAGAGACCCATGGAGAATTGTATTCCAAAAATAGTCAGAACATTACGTAGTTTTAAGTCACCAATCTGAGCAAAAGAGTTTTCAGCTTTCTGAATATCACCACTAACTAATTGGTCAATAACATGACAATGCAATCTAGTGATAATATTTAAGAAAAAAACAAATAATCCCATTAAAAGTTCATAAATTAGTTTGGATCTCAGTACAATTAATTTCACTTTTTGCACAGACTCACTAAAAATGCATAATCTCATTTTATATATGCCCCTACATTTTTGGAATTTTACCTTTTTCTCTAACAGTGAAATAATGAGGTACAATGACCTAAGGATGTTCATTCGTACTATCTCAGCAGCCATATCTCCTTCACCTCTTCTTTACAATTCTTTTTTTTTTTTTTTTTTCCCTTTTTGTCTTTTTTTTTTTACTGACCGGTAACGGGATCGCAACCCTCGGTGTCGCGCCCGTACCGGGGACCGGCAA